TTCTCTTGATCCTAGAAAGCCGTCATGAAAATATCATCATAATGATCTTTTCTATAGATTCTTACTATTTCATAATTTTCTTTTGCCTTCTGATCTATTTTACATTGACCGAAAACATTAAACATATCGTATGTTACAATGGCATGTAAATGGTAAGCACAGTTAAGTTATACTAAACTCAAGTTTCTACATTTCTCTGGCCTCTCTACCTACTTTTTACAACACATATTTTTGTAAATTTTCAGAGCAAGTTCAAACAGGCATTTTGAGGTATATGTATAGAAAAGAAAATCATCCAAATGGTCTGTCATGCAGACCGTGACAGTGACACAGAATATTGAACTCGTTAGCATGACACACAGTAAGGCTTTATTGATGAGCGTGGAATGACTTCGTCGTCTTTTACTCTACAATTTCATAGATTCTGCTTCGAAAACCTATTATGTGTAGGCTGAGAGTGAATGAGGTTAAGAGATGATAGATAAGACTGTTGGAGAACGGGATGCAAGCGTAAAAGATGAAAATCCTCACCCATTTATGACTCCTAAATGGAGAGTGTATCTACTGACAAATTATTAGCTGATTTATGTAGACTTCATTTCGTTGTAACAAAGTCACGGTATTCTGTTTGCTGAAATAGCTTGGTAGTATGCAGGCATTGACTCATCGTCTCTTCTCTGCACTTACCTTTTCTCAATAGAAATAAAAACGTAAGAAGAATTCTTCTACCTAACTTCTCACTACCCGTCTCATCTTCTCTATTTTTGCCAGTTTTCGATCCTCAACTCAAGAATAAATTCGTTGTCTATATTACATTCCTTGATAAAAAAAAAACATTGTCAAAAGGTAACTCATTTTTAGGATACTCATAGATAATCACTATTTCTTTTTTGCATCTGGAAATATAAATGCAACGTATTAGCTACAATTATAGCAATAGCTGCTCGATGTCAGTTAGTGGCTCGTATTTGACTACTACACATATTAATTATCGAAGAAAAAAAAACAGATGATGTCATCCATTCAGATATACTCTCTCTCTCAACATATTAACAGAACTTCTGAATGTAGCTTTTAAGTTCGAGCTAATAAACATTTCCGGAAATTCGTTGGTACTTCCATGCCTACTGTTATAAGAAGCAAAGCAAAACTTCGTTATTCTTCTATCACCATAGCACTGTTTCGATTGGAAAGTCAGAGAGACAAATAGAAGAGTCGATTCTGAATACTCTCATTTAAATGTTCTTAAAAAACAATCTAAACTTAGTTCTATATTCTGAGTTTAGAGACCTAACAAAATTTTCTTGAAAACGTCTCTCAAGTATATTACTTTGTCCATGAGAATCTACATAAACACCGAACTTTTATTTCGGGCAATTGATTCCAACAGCAAATTATTTTGCCTACAAAGTGATGGACTTTCGATCGTCCAGTATCCATTTATCCTAGCGATAAAAAGTCCTACTTTCAGCCTTTCATAATTTTGTACTACAAAATGCAGCCAAAAGCCTTCAAGTCATTGAAGTCTATTTACTAGGTGTATCTGTCTCTATAACGAATCAGCACTGGAAGTTCCTAAATTACTTATTTTATAGAAAAGAATATCTTCAATTGGAATTAATTCTTCAAAACATCAAGGTGAAATTCATTTAGGTTTTCACAGGCAATATACTTAACTAAACTGCCGTTTTCAAGGCATATTCGCTCGGTCTCGCAATCCAGAATATAGGTATAGGTTTAGATTATTTTTCGAAAACCTTTTCCATGAAAGAATTTCGAATCGACTCTTCTATCTGTCTATATGACTTTCGAATCGAAGTGGTACTGTTTCCATCCAGAAGACTAGTGGCGTTTCAGTTTAGTGTTCACAATAATGGCTATATAAGTAGCGATTAATTTCAGGAAATATTCATTTCCTCGAACTCAACAACTAAATTCAGGAAATTTTGATTTTGGATTGAGAGAGAGTATCCTTGAATGCATAGAGTCACATGTTTTTTCTTTGATTATCAACATTTGCAGAAGCTAGACATGAGCTACTGACTGCGTAAGAATATATGTTGTTATACCTAAAGCCATTAGTATATGATTAGTTACAAAGCAATTGAAAGTCATTTGCGGGATCTACAGATTCATGAATGACATATACTTTTTGATCACAATATTAGATGTCAAGGAATCAAAGAGCTTTACTTCGAATGCTAAAAAACCTGATGATACCTTTTACTCATATTAGCTGTTCCTTTCATCAACTGGCAAACTTGGCATCCTTTAACTATTTCTTTTTCTTAAAGTATGAATATTTCTGTCAAACAAAATTTTCGGAACGCAAATTCGTGATTTTCAACTTATCAAGAAGTAATAAGTTATAATGCTTTCGTTTATCCTATTCGTTTTATTTTGGTCGGTACAAAAGTGACACTGTTTTTTTGAAGAAACTATACATATGTTCTCGAAAAGATAGCTAGTCAATAATCCGCAAATGTTTTGTCGGAAGCATCTTTCAGCGAAAAACGATCAGTAACATCATCGATTACCATATATTAGCAATCAAAGAGAAAGAAGTTAACTCGAGCTAAACTCATCTATAACTACGGCCTGTATTTTTAAAATACTGATGTAAAGAAGAGAAATGGAATCGATTGATGGGTTCTGAACATGACCAGTAAACATTAGCAATATTCAGACTTCGGAAAAAAAATTAAATTTCACAATTTTCTGAAGATTCAAGAATTGTTACTTTGAAACTTCTTCTACCTCAGATACTTCTGTCACTTCTAAAATTTTTGAACATTCTTAAAATTGGTTATTACTAGATTTTTCATGCTTTTCATGATACGAGAAAATTTCTAAAACTCTCAAAATTTATACGTTATGATTGCGTCTGATTGTGGCAACTTTCAAAGTTATAGAAATGTTGGTCTTTTCTTAAGTCTGCATATTCACATCTAATTGAAATGATAGAGAAAACGATTGCCTGTTTAATGAGATGTCCCTTACGCATAAATATTGTTATTTACCTGAAATACACTAAATTTACAAAGGATCTAAAAGTTGTTTTTTTCGTTTTTCTTTATAATTTATCAAGAGCTACTTTTAGACCGTGGACAAATTCGATGTGTACGTGCCAATTAAATTTACTCAAGTATGGGAGGTGTTTTATTCTATGGACAATTGTTTTCTCCAGCATCACATTTGCGAATAAATTAAAAATATACCCAGTTATCGCGTAATATTTGTTCCGTGATAAAGTGGCCCGATACTCTTTGCAGTATGTATATCTCTTGTGACTATAAATAATATAACCAAGTCTTAACAAAAATCTCTGCACTGGATGAGACAGATTTACATTTAGGCCATAAAAAATATTTGCTCAACGCTTTGAATTGTGCAATATGAGCCTAAAAACCGTACTGTTTCGAAATAAAGATATTTCTTTTCACTACAGTTCTAAGATTTCAAGTTTACTGGATGACATTCGTCGTGATGAGATCGATTGATAAGGATGTGAGTACATGGTATGGATTTCAATGTAGAGAAGATCAAACTAACATGCTCACCATGAATCTTAATCATACACATACAGACACTGATCCTTGGTGTTCGCATATATACAAAATCAAAACTGAATTCAAATTTTCGAATTCAAGAATTTTTGTTCCCATATTTGATTCCTTCGAGTGTTAATATGTTTGTATTCATAAGGCTGCACTTCTATGATGGACAAAATGATCGTGATCTGAAATCTCGATGTGGAAACGTCTTCGGAACAGAATACACATTCATAGATAAGGATGCTGATAAGGATTAGGTAAGATTCTTAAAACCTCCATGATCGAATTTATTAACTAAAAGTGTTGCACATTTCCTTGGAGCTTGGATCCAAGTTGACAGCGTCAAGCTGAAATTCATGAACTCCAAAAGTCGAATCAAATTTTCCAATTCTATGCTCCTGCTGTTCTTCTGTGTGTTATCTGTAAAGCTATATAATAGCATCGGTCGAATCGGTAGGTTAGAATCGAGTCAGTACTCGATGAGTCCGAGTCATAAGTCGGACTTGGGAATTGGGCAACACTGATTCGACTGTTTGACTCGAGTCAAAACCGAGTCATCGATTCAAAAATTTTTTCAATACTCTCATTAAAGACTTTTATTCTATAAAATTTTATTCTCAGTTGTTCATAACTTTTTCCACATAAAATGAATAACATCTGAAGAACTTTTTCAGGATTCTTTTTTAACCTATGTATTTCTATGATCTGGAATTAGAGCCATGTGTCCTAATTCTGTCAGAAAAAGAAATACTTATCGTATTTTATTTGTAACTCGAGCTATGTACATCATAAAAAAATAATTTTTTCTTTCCGGAAAAGAGTCAACATTTCTCTATCAACTGATATAAAATTTATAAAAAAAAAGAATTAACTAATGACTCAGGACAAGCGTGAAAGTAGAGAAGATGTTTAATTTGTTTGAATTTTAGTGTGTTCCTAAGTCATTCAGTGCATGTATTTTGTTTTCCTAATTTGCTGATTACATAGAAAATGGCAGTAAATTTCAGGAAAAGGTCATTATCTTATGAGTCAATCGAATATAATAGTAAAAAAATATATCCTTCGATTCGTCTTGACATGGACTATCTATTAATATGTTTTTCATAAAAATTTAAGATCATCTAATATTCTCTTTTTTTCTTACGAAAAAAAGTCGCCGATAGAATTTTTTCCTGTTCTTGATTTTCTTAGGTAGATTTTTAAAAGTTTTCACTGTAATAAATTCATTTTATTTTTGTAGAAGTTGATTGAATCTTATTTGTGACTGTTAGTTAACGCTCTCTCTCATTCAACAAGCTTGTTTCTTTGTGATACAACAGCTATTTAATTTATGATTATATGTTAGCTGAACACATATTGGCTATATAAAGAATTTTTTAGGGCTATTTTGAAAATTTATTTCTATTTCAACCTTCGTTGCATATTTATTTTTATTTATTTTTGGTAATGAAATACCTGGTACAAAATTTAATCAATGCTGTTAAAAGTAAGCTAAGTTCAAGTGCAGCATCAAAAAGATTTAAAGTACCTAAAAGAACGAGACATTTACATCGTCAAAATGCTTTGCAAAAAATTGGCGGCCGTCGTTATGGTTTTCTAAACGATGAACAAGAAGATTTTTTAGTATGCTCATTTAAATTATTAGCGGAATATGGATTTACAATCACTGCTGATATTTCATTAAAAATTTCGGATGAATATTTTAAATCTATCGGATTATCAAATAAACCAGGTCGTAAATGGTTAAGGTCGTTTGTTAAACGTCACAAGACGGAAATCAAGTGGAAAAAAGAACAAAAACTTGAACAAATTCGAGCAAAAAAGTTCACAGAAGAAACTAGAAAGTCTTGGTTTGGCCTTTTAGCATCGACCTTAATTGAACTTGATCTTATGAACAAACCGTCACAAATATTTAATTGTGACGAAACCGGTTTCTCCGATAAAACTAAACGTAGGCTCATTCAAAACAATATTTTCTTAGTCTCTATATATTTTTAGGCAAACACATCATTGTAACCTCAAGTACACGACACGTATTTGAAAAAGATGGTGATGGTGGTAAACAATACACTACTGCATTGATTGGAACTAGTGCAGCTGGTCAAGTGATTTCTCCTTTTATTATTTATGCTGGTCTACATTTGATGAATGCATGGTGTAGAGATGGACCTGATGGATCACGTTATGCTGTAACAAAAAAAGTAACGAAATATTGTATCTACCATTTTTTTATCTATGTTTTTCTAAGCTAGGGTTGGATCAACACATGTTCATTTGAATGTTGGCTTCAAGAAATGTTTATTCTAGCTGCTGAACATCTCAACCGAACTCTGTTGCTTATTATGGACGGCCATAATGCACATATGAATATAAACATTATACAATTGATGAAATAACACAAAATCGTTTGCTTGATTCTTCCTCCTCATTGTACTCATAGGTTACAACTAATTGATGTTGTCCTATTTAACAACGTTAAAACTGATTGGCCAAATATTGTAAGAAATTATTTCAAAAGTGGCAACAAATCTATTAAAAATGCTGATATTCCTCGTCTAATGAAACAATTATTTATTGAAAAACAATCTTTTTCAAGTACACGAATAGTATCCTCGTTTTCTCGTTTAGGTGAGCTTGACACTAATAATAGAAAACGTTTGGGTAGCTTCCAAATAAAATAAATGGATTCTTTTATTCATATCGATTAATTTGTCGGTATCTTATATGGCAACATCAATGTCACGAGAAATAAAATCATCTTACTAAATCACTTTTTGAAAATAAAAAAAAATTCTCTTACAATGATGGTCAATTTTTTTTCCTTTCTTTTCTTTTCTTTTTTCCATAGGCATATGGCCATTCAGCGAACATGCCATGATAGATAAAGTAGTGGTTCCTGCATTTTCTTCATTTTTTACTTCAACGATCATTAAGAAAATACCACCGCCAACAAATATTCTTATACCACGTTCAAGTTCTTCAGTTGTTCACTCATTATCCACCATGTTATCATTATCAGAATCAATCATTAAATCAAATTTTAAATCGATTACTGAAACATTACATTCTGTTAGTATGGTCCTCGATGATACAAATGAAAAACAACAACAAATGTTATTTGATATTCAACAGATTAAACCAATTCAACCAATATCTCTCGATGATCATGAGATTTCATCATAAAGTGATTCTACATATGCTGTTTTGAATACGGTTGATTTTAATATATTATTGTTTGAACCACAACCAGATTTAGATGCAAAACCAACAACAAAACAGATTAATCAATCCTTGCCGGTGCAGCTGATAGGTAACTCAAAATTAATATTTGCTAAAAATATCTACATTTTCTTTAGAACAAAATAAACAAAAACAAAAAACGAAACCTGCTGTTGAAAATATTCATGCAGTAGGTGAAGTTCTTGCCGATCTATTAGAGGAGCAACAACAATATCAGACCACAACTGCATCAACAACTACTTCCAGAGCATCACGATTGAATAATACTACTGGCGTCAATATCACCGATGACGATTTTATAAAAATGATTCAAGAAAAATCTACAAGCAAAGCCAAACAAACAACCAGCAAGAGAAAAAGAAATCAAATACAAATTCTAGATATTTGAGAAATAAAAAAGAGTAAATGTAATCGGTATTGATAATGATCAAGAAAATGATTATACCATGGATTTGAATAAATGTTCCAGATCAACTGGATCTGACTATTAAGGCTACTCGACTGATATTCGGTGATCACGACACAATGACTTTATACCTGTTTCGTGTACATAAACCTAATTTATGCTGGATAATTAATTATAGTCTTCTTTCAATTTGTATTTAGAATTTTTATATTATGTACTTTTTCTGTAAAAATTCATATTGATGAATTTTCATTACGAAAATAAAATGAATTTATTATAGTGAAAACTTTTTAAAATCTACCTAAGAAAATCAAGAACAACTAACTTTATTTTATGCTCATTTCATAGAAACATATTGCTCTTTAGTAGAGATTTCGAATGGTATAAGATTGATGGTGTTTTTTTTAGTTGAGGTAGCACTCACGAGTTTATATTTCGATACCGGTGAGTGGACAACTGATCACAGGAAACTGATCATGGGACAACTGATCACGGCGGACGACTGATCATGAAGGGTCATGAGATCATTATTATCGTTTATCATATAAAAGACAATGTTATAGTCATTTTATCTTATCAGAGTGTGGGTGTGGGTGTGGGTATGGCTGGGTGTAGGTGCGTCTCTTCTTCATCCACGCCCACAGCCACAGCCACAGCCACAGCCACAGCCACAGCCATACCCTCTTGCCTTCAATTTCAATTTCTAATTGATCTCTCTTCTTTTCTCTCTGTTCTTTTTTGTTTGGAAATAAATGACAATTATCGAACGATTTTTTATGATCAACTGTTGAAGATCAGTTGTCCCTTATGATCAGTTGTCTATGATCAGTTGTCGTCATGATCAGTTTTTCCATGATCAGATGATCATGATCAATTGCCCTAGACTATTCGATACCTCTATGTACTTTGCATGTAATCGGCAGAATTAAGAACAGGAAAAAACTCTATCGGCAACTCTTTTTCGTAAGAAAAAAAAGAGAATATTAGATGATCTTAAATTTTTATGAAAAACATATTAATAGATACCCCACGTCAAGACGAATCGAATGATATATTTTTTTTACTATTATATTCGATTGACTTCATAAGATAATGACCTTTCCTGAAATTTAGTGCAATTTTCTATGTAATCGGCAAAATTAGAAAAACAAAATACATGAACTGTTTGAATTAGGGACACACTAAAATTCAAACAAATTTAACCCCTCCTCTACTTTCACGCTTGTTCTGAGTCATTAGTTAATTATTTTTTTATAAATTTTATATCAGTTGATAGAGAAATGTTGACTCTTTTCCGGAAAGAAAAAATTATTTTTTTATGATGTACATAGCTCGAGTTACAAATGAAATACGATAAATATTTCTTTTCCTGACAAAATTAGGGCACCTGACTCTATAGTATAGACGTATTATTGCAGATTTTTCTTCTTGCTATTTTGCTTCGACTTTGGAGTGCGTACCAAAGTATATGATAAAATTAGTTGAATCTTCACATAACATCATGCGTCATATTCTTTACCACACTGTAGTATAAGCTTTTGGTGACTGTATTTTTCATAGCTTTCATTTGATTTTATTCAAGATGAGAAACAAGTCAGAGGGAAAATCTCCTAAAAACAATGGAAAAGCATTTTTAAATGAAAATAAGCTTCCTCTTTGCGAAAAAGCGATCAATTCTTCTTGGAAACGGAAGAAAAAGAATATCTTTTCTAAAGACACTAACTTTTTTGAAATATTCGAGTAAAGGTTTCTCTTTGAGAGAAAGTCGATGATTCTCTTTGAAAATTAAGAAGAATGTTTTCTATTATGCACGTTTTTCTTATATTCAGGATAAAGAAAAAGCTGACAAACCCACTAACCAGTAGTCAACAAAAATTTTCCCAGAGAAAGATTAAAAGTAGCAGAAAATTTGGGAGATGGAAATTGCTCCACTTCCCAGCCCTGATAGTATTTTCTTATATTTGTTAATAAACAAATTTTCCCATTATACATTTCGCGTTATTTATTGCTAAAGAAACAGTGGATGTGGAATCTTCTCATCAAAATATACATCCACACATTTTTATCTTATATTTGACTTCTCTGATTTTAGTTTAGGTACTAAATACTAGGAACTAAATATGGCATAATAAAAGCTTATGGTAAACGTATTTTGTTAAAATAAATAACAGGAGAAAATGCTAAAATAAATAACAGGGGAAAATACTAAAATAACTTAACTTGATTCGACTCCAGAAATGGCTTGACTCCTTCAAAACTATTTCTGATATAAAATGTACGAATTTGATTTACGTTTAAAGCGTCTGAGATACAGAAGAAACAGAGGAAACACATATTTCACTAACCTGTTCAGGCAACATATTATCTGGAAGAATTAAACGGTAAAATGGATACATAATTGATTTTTCATCGCCAGTGGAATGTTCAAGACCAAGGCTGTGTCCAACTTCATGCGTAGCAACTAAACGCAAATTGTAACCTCTGCCATTATATCTATGTATTCCAAAAATAACTCGATAGAACCTCGTTAGATGTTTAGTTACTTGTCTGACCACTTTTCAGTGGAATCAAAATGAATCTGCCCGCGATTGGGCTGCCATGGAAAAAAAGCGTGTGCCAGAGTTCCCTCGCGTCCATCAAATGGAAATACATCTGAGTGATTGCCAGATTCAAAAGCCAAATTAAAATCAGCCTCTTCGTCTTCAGCCGCTTGACGAAATGTTAATTTTGTGTACTTGGCCCAGTCATCAAAACCCTGTTGAATTTGACGATTAGTTTTTGTTAGATCATAGAAAAAACGATCATAATCCAATTTCCAAGTGAGTGTACGATTCGTGGGCCTGAAAGATCAAAAAAGAGTATAAGGTTAGCCATTCCACTAAGTTTTGTCATTGAAAGCAACAATATCTTTTTAAATGGCTATCCGTGTGGTATTTTTTAACAAGATGAGTCTGACAACAGTGCTAAACGTACGATACAATAATAATAATAGCTCAGCGACTATATAGAGCGAGGCTTTGATTAGTTTAAACGTTGCAACACACGGGAATTTCGTATGATATCAGTGCACCTGCGATCAACTCCATAAAAAAAGAATGGCGCATTGTATTTATCTAGCATAGAAGGTTGTTTTGAGGAAATAGTTATAAAAATTTAATTTCTGTCCACGGTTTAAGTTCACTATATCACAATGAGAAGAAAGAACGGACAACATAGAATAAAATACCTATGAATTTGTATTAGAAGTTATCTTACTGAATGCTAACTGTTTGAAGGAAAATGAGTAACGATTTTCAAAACGTTATTCCTAGAGGCACAACTACTACCATCGATTAAAACTACAGAGATAAAAAACAGATACACTACCAGAGCTTTTTTCTATCGATCAACGAAGATGGAGAATCAGGCAAACTACATCGCGGCGTATTCATTAGCTTAAGTGTAGCGGCATCGAGTTGTCCGGTCACAGGTAGATGAAAAGTAGTTTGGAACTCTTCTAGCATCGATTCGAAGCTGGATTGACATGCTGGACCGTCATATATTTCAGAATCGGAACCGGGAGGTTTTGTGCATCGATTATATCCGAATTGAGTCAGGAATTTGAGAACATCTTCGTTCGATTTGATTGCAACACCTTTGGGTTTGGATTGAGCTTTTGACCAAAGCACTGTGTTTTTCACTGTCTTGTGTCTCAAAAACTTTTCGTCCAATGGATTGGCAATAATAAAAGTGAGTAGAATAGTACAAAAGATGAAAATCGTGAATAATTTCATCATTGTGTATGGAGTCGAAAGTAAAGGATGAATGAAACAAAGTATGATTTTTGTGTGTTTAAAGGTAGCTTATATATTTTAAATCAGCAACATGTAAGTAGAGAGAGAGAAAGTTATTTAAAAAATCGAAAATTGATGATAAGACGTAGACAATAGCAATAGAGTAATTCAATCAAATGATAAGATTTCGTTTTGTATTCTATTACCTATTTTCACATACATGTGCGTGCACGAGAGAGAGAAATCCTATCAGTTACTATCAGCAACAAATTAAAATGTTTGGGAATATTTTTTTCAATATCTTGCGAATAGAACTAGTTGGCGATTTGCGATTTTCTACATTCCATACAGAAATCCAGGTAAATATATATATGTCAAAGTCAGTATATGAGTGTGAAGTCTTTCGGAAAAAAAATGTTCTAGAGTCAAGCTTTAGCTTTCAAAACTTCTTGATCATAGTTTCAGTTGCTAGTGGTGGATGAGAGCGAATGGATGCTTCCAATTGTTCTTTCTAAGTTTCAGAAATACAATATTTTTTTTCGTTTCATCACTGGATTATCTCTAGCATGAATTGATGGAGTCGGTGAAAAGGTCGTTTTATCCACTGAAGTCCTCAGAAATTTCTTTTTCGAACGGATTTTTAATCCTGCATTTCAAGTAGCGTTGTAAATACCAGATAAGAATTAAAATAAAATATAAAAGTGCAATACCTGATTTTCGGCATTTTAGAGCTGCTCCATTATGAAAATTTCATATTTACATCT